AGGGGTGATTGTTGGTTTATTAATCGGTTTGGTAGTCACAATTTTACATGCATGGCTGCAATTAAATTAATATTTGTGGTTTTAGATGTTATGATTTAATTTACTTTAGTTAAAGGTTTAATAAAGAAGAGTGGGCAGTGGATTTGACTGATTCACAAAGTGTCTGTTAGAGTTGTTGGAGTTGTACACGTTGGGTATTAGAAGAAGTCACCCACTTACTTGTTTTTTAGGATAGACTAAGTATTTTATTCTTTCTTTTGTGTTTCCACGTTGGTAATTTTGTGAGGCTAAATATAGCCTCCTTTCCCCATGAATAAACAGTGAGTTTTGGTCTTTACTTTTCAGATGCTGCTCATTTAATTTATCATATTATAAAAAGCTTTATTCTTCCTGTCTTTATACATTACGTGAGTTTCGTGTGTGTCTTTTGTGGGAGCCTGAACCAACATTTGGTATCAGAGCACTCAGGTTCGTTGAAGGGGGTGTAAATCGTTTCTTGTAGCAGGCGGAAAAAGTGCAGCCTCCTTCCTTGATCAACTTGTTCCATGTTAGAAAGAGCCTAACCAGAAGCATAGAAGACAAGCTGGAAAAATCAGAACAAGTGGTTGTGGTTTGGTTTGTTTGCAAGTAAAAGAAAACAGTAAAAGCAGGAGCTTGGTTTTCTTGAGCGTTGGAAAAGGCATCTTGGAACAAGTTTGATCGGAAAAGGTTTGGGCTATCACAAGGAAGGAAAAATGGCGTTGGCAGTAAAAGATGGTGGTTCAATGTCATATCAGATTCCGGTTTTGACCCCTATTAATTATCCGGTATGGGCAATCAAAGTAAAGGCCATTATGGATGCACATGACATATGGGAGACCATTGAAGCAAGAGCGGTGGGTGAAGAATCGGATCCAAAGAAGAAGAAACAAGCTCTTGCTTTCTTGTTTCAAGCAATACCCGAAGACATGGTATTGCAAATGGCGAGTTACACCGATCCAAAACAAGTGTGGGATGGTTTGAAGACACGGTATTTGGGTGTGGATCGGGTGAGAATGGATCGGCTAGCAACCTTGAAGAGGGAACTCGAACGCTTGCGTTTGAAGGGGAGTGAAACGGTTGATGATTTTGCGACCAAGTTGGCCGGTTTAGCCTCAAAGGCAAGAAGCCTTGGCTACGAGCTTGAAGAGGTAGATTTGGTGAAACGGTTATTAGACTCGATGCCCAAGTCGTTTCTTAAACTTGTGGCTTCAATAGAGCAATGCTTCGAGTTGGATTCAATGTTATTCGATGAAGCCGTGGGAAGGTTGAAGGCGTATGAGGAGCGTTTAAAATGAACAGAGAAAACCGAGGACATTCAAGGTGGTTTATTGTTGACTAGTGAAGAAAGATCACAAGTTTATAGGCATTGTGGCAATGGAGGTTCCAATCGGGGTGGCTTTGGACGAGGCTGGGGAAGAGGTCGTGGGTCCGGAAAAAGTCGGGATGGGAGTGAACGTTTCCAACGGGATAAAAGCCAAGTAGATGTTACAAATGTCGTGAATTGATCACTACATACAACAATGAATGTCCTAAGTGGGAAAAACAAGAGGTAAATCTAATTGAGGAGGAGCCGGCATTGCTGTGATCTAGTGAGAAAAAAACAAACCGATTAAGGGGGTGATTGTTGGTTTATTAATCGGTTTGGTAGTCACAATTTTACATGCATGGCTGCAATTAAATTAATATTTGTGTTTTTAGATGTTATGATTTAATTTATTTTAGTTAAAGGTTTAATAAAGAAGAGTGGGCAGTGGATTTGACTAATTCACAAAGTGTACGGTAGAGTTGTTGGAGTTGTACACGTTGGGTATTAGAAGAAGTCACCCACTTACTTGTGTTTTAGGATAGACTAAGTATTTTATTCTTTCTTTTGTGTTTCCACGTTGGTAATTTTGTAAGGCTATATATAGCCTCCTTTCCCCATGAATAAACAGTGAGTTTTGGTCTTTACTTTTCAGATGCTGCTCATTTAATTTATCACTTTAGAAAAAGCTTTATTCTTCATGTCTTCATACATTACGTGAGTTTCGTGTGTGTGTTTTGTGGTAGCATGAACCAACAGATGACGTAGGAATTGAAGGCTATGTTGTACTAGTTAGAGTGGTGTAAATATATTTGTTTTTACATAAATACATTATCCATTCTCAAAGGTACTCTCGTTATTATGCAAAAACTACCATTTTTTTTATTTTATTCTTCACCTTATAGAGTTATAGTTTTGTATGTTGGATTTCCTTTGTATCCGAAAAAAAGAAAAAACAAAAATATGAATATGATGTAATTATAAGCTATTATTTGTTTTTTTAATGTTTTCTTGGTTTTCATGTTGGATTTTTCCTTGAAATGGATAGATATAGAAGGGAAAGGGTAAGGAAAAAAATGTATATCAGTTTGTGTTTGTGGATGAAGTTAGGTTATGCTTGGGTTTATATGCTTAAAAACACCACATTGATGATGCGAGACAATATCACAAATTTGGTGTGTGTCAAGCGATTGATTTACCGGGTTCAAGAATACAAATTCAAGCTCACTGAAAATATACTTGACATTTCCAGGTGATAGTACATTTTAAGAAGATGTTTCAAATTATTTTAGGTAAATTGTTGTGAATGTGTCACACGATCGATTTCTAGGTCAGAAGATTGATCGATGGTTTGTAGTTAACACACCAGAAAAATCATCATTTTCACCGTAATTTATCGGTTTCTTCACTATTTTCATTTGATGGCAACAATAAAGAAGTGATTTTGGATGCTAGGAAGAAACCTATTATCAGCATGTTGGAGGACATTCGTATATATGTAATGCAAAGGATGGTAAGTATGAAACTCATAGGTCAAGGATGGAATCGTTATTCTGTTTGTCCAAACATCAGAACAAGATTGAATATTCTACAAAATGAGCAAAGGTATGTACACTTTTTTCATACATTACTTACCACTGTCAACTCTAAATTTTGCATTACTCTATGTAGGCATTGGCAGGTTGTGTCTTGTGAGAGTATGAAGTTTGAAACAAGGAAACTGGATGAGTCGTAGATTGTCGATGTCACAAAAAAGGAATGCAGTTGTAGGTTATGGCAACTAAATGGGTATGGTTGTGTTCATTCAATAGCTACATTAGCGTTTTTAAACGTAACACCTGATGGGCCATATGTAGACCCTTTGTACCTGGCAGCCTTTTACCAAAACACTTACAAAAAGTCTATTAGTCGTATGAATGGGATGAACATGTGGCCTTCAACAACCTTTACACCTTCATTGCCTCCTTTAAAAAGAAGAATGTCAGGGCCAACAGTCAAAAGAATAAGGGATGCTTCTGAAAGGTCCGGAAGACACACTGTTTGAAAGGATCCAAATTCGATGACATATACATCTAACCGGGATGCCACTTGCACACAAATGCAAAGGCCACCTAATACTAATCTGACAAAGAAACAAAAAATCAGGCAAACACAAGAATTAGTGAATATGCAAGAGGGTGGAGAAGATGTTGTGATGGGTGATGCAGTTGAGCCACAAAATGATGAAGTAATGAGGGTAAACGAATCTGAGCAAGAGGTGAGGGTTAATAAAGTTGTTAGGCAAGTGAAAACTACGTGTCAACTAAAGAGGAGGAAGAAGTCAGAGAGAATTCTTAAACTGAAGCTTGCTAAAAGAGTTGCAGGTGAAGGTAGTAGTGTTGGATCGCCAATGGAGTTAGATTAATTACACTTGTAATTGTGTTTTTGTTATGTGGATTGAACAACCAAATTTTTGTTTGCCATTTGGATGTATATTATAAGTATCTTCACAATTGATATTTGGATGCTTTGTTTAATTATAAAATTTATGGTATGGCACGTTTTTATTAAAGTAGGGGTATTTTGGTTATTTGACTCAGTTAATACAATGTGTTTGGGTGCTTCATGTTACTATCAAAGTAGGGGTATATTGGTCATTTCAAACAGTTTAAGCAGTAGGCGTATGGGTATTTCATGCTAGTATTCAGGTAGGGGTATTTTGGTCATTTCAAACAGTTTAAGCAGTAGGCGTATGGGTATTTCATGCTAGTATTCAGGTAGGGGTATTTTGGTCATTTCAAACAGTTTAAGCAGTAGGCGTATGGGTATTTCATGCTAGAATTCAGGTAGGGGTATTTTGGTCATTTCAATAAGTTAAATCAATATGTGTATGGTATTTCATGTATTTATTATAGTGGGAGTATTTTGGTCATTTGAAGAAGTTAGTTTAGGGGTCTTTCTGTCATTTTAATTTGTTAAGGAACTAGGGGTATTTATGTCTTTTTTTTATTTTAATAAACCGATCAGGGGTATTAGAGGCAATTTATATTATGTGAATTAACCCAGTAGGGGTATTTCAGTCAATGTTTATTATGTCACCAAACCCAGTAGGGGGTATTTTAGTCATACATTTATTATTGGACTTAACCAATTAGGGCAATTTCATTTCTTCCCATCAATCACAAATACAACAAAAAAACACTTTTCATTGTTTTACATGTCTGGGTATAGGCAACGACAAATCTGGGTGTCTGCATCTTCTCTTTTGTCCCATGTCCCCACAAACAAATCTGGTATTAAACGTTTGACTTTTTCATGTGGTCCCAAGAACAAAATCAGCATAAAAAATGACTACTTCTTCACTACACATGCAAATGTACATTTATAAGAGTAATCCTTTTATAACAGGAACAAGTTAACATAATCAATATTTCATTCATGGGTTTCTGCATCTTTACATATATTGAACAACTTATAACAGGATTTCCACCACTACGTAACTACATACGAGAACCATCACCTGCCTTACATCAAAATATTGATCATCTACACATCATGATCACAAAACCACCAAATACTACAACCAGAAACCAAAAGACAACCACAAAAACCTATTACTAATAAGCACAAAATACAAGATGCACATCTAAACAAAATAGAAACCCAGGATTGAAATGTTTAACCTACTATGCTTCTGTCACTTATAAAACCTGTAGGTTAAAACCCCAACAACAGTAACCACAAAAACCCCAAAGACCCATTTCACTTTCTTCGACTTCTTTTTTCTGAAAACAGAGTTGACATATGACGCTTGAAATGAACAGAAATTATTCTTCAAATCAGCAACCATGTTAGATAGATCGAGTTGACATTCCCTAACATCATCGACTTCATGATTTAGGGAGTCCATCTCTCTAGTGAGGTTGCGTCGTAGTTCACGAAGGTCGTTTGCAATCTCTTCCTCACAAGCGACACTTCTAACTGTGTCTGCAGTACATTGATCGCCAAGTCTTCATTTGTGACTCCATTCGACACATTTTTAGCCATGTGCTGATTGTAGTTGGGTGACCAACTGTGATCTTGAGATGATCGTGAAGGCATTGTTTCTGCGTTTGGTATCGAAGTCTATGGTGCAGTCGGGGTAACCAGGTTATGAATTGTGCCATTTTAGGGCACAAGCTTAACAATTTATACGGAGGCGGGTGAACAGTGTGAACGTGCAACTTAAGTTTCACATTCCTAAACGACGTCGTTTGGCTACAAGACTTAAATACAATGGCGCCATGTCATCGATGATGTGTCAAATTCGGACGATGTGGCAAGGTGACCTGGTATAACAAGTGAAGGGGACTAAATTGCTAGGTTGCAACACAATTGATTCCCTTATAAAGCCACTAAATAAGTTTAGTGACTAAAAGGTAAACCCTAAAAATTTCAATGGTTATATGCGTCATTTTCCCATAATTAAATCATAGACACTCTTTCTTACTTTTATATGACTATAATTTGGTTTTCCACATTCTTATTAATGACAACATTGATGCCACATCATGTTGGAGATTTAGCAATAAATTAATGGCTTGAATTTTCAAATGATGATTTGATCCCAATTTACACCACAAATAAAGAATGTGGATGAGAATAATGGCAAAAATGGCTCTGGAAAAAGGAGAAATCAGGAGAAATCCTACGACAACGAAATCTATAAAAATAAAAGGTTTGGATTTTTTTTATACTTTTTTTTACTTGACATTAAGTCATATATTTATTTCTTGATGTCATGTTGACTTGATCTCCTGTAAATTTTTCTTTAATTTCCCAGTTTGTAGCAAAGTTGAAGAAATCCTTATCGAAATGAAACCTATAAGCATGAAGGATTTGGACATTTTCATTTTACTTTGGCATTAAATCTTGTTATAGTTGTATTATCACTACAAGAAAAAAAGGCAATCAGTGGCGACACAAGTCGCTGGTAAAGAGTAACAATGTCGCTGGTAATTGTAATAGCGGTGACACGTTGCCGGTAATAAGTCGCCGCTACTGCTCTATCGCTATTGATCAAAACGTCGCCGCTAATGATAATTGTCTCCGTTAATACTCATGTCGCCGGTAATACTTTGTGTCGCCGCTAATGATGATGTTGCCGGTAATAGAGTCGCCGGTGATAACTTTTTTTCATTTTTTTAATCAACGATTTTGAGTATAAAAAACCGATACATAACGACATTAAATACAGAAAAAAAATTACATAACAACATCCGATTAGATACCAAATACTGTTATAATTAATTTCATACCAAAATAAACAACCAATGTTTTACAATTCTAACAAGTAGCAAAGTGTGACGACATGTGTAACATACAACACACAAATTAATTATCCGACAAACCACCATCTCCGTTCCCATCGTTTCCTCCTTGATTATTCTCCGATTGAAAAAATGCGTAAAGCTCCTCCCTATATGCCGGGTCGTTGAGCAGTGCCCGAAGATTTTCCAACTACATAATAAATAACAACATATATAAACTTATAAGTTAAATTATCAGACATAAACAAAAACTACCAAACTACATTCCTATTTCTTGCACTTAAATACAAGATATATCAAAAGTACATTGCTATTTCTTGCACTTGGGGCAAAAACACAATTACCAAATCAACATGCATTTATCAATGCCAAAGTACATTGCTATTTTTAAACTAAGGCAAAAAACCAAAGTACATTGTTATTTCTTGCACTTGGGACAAAACCCCAATTACGAAGCTTTTAGCAAATAATCACCACAAGCCAAAATTACCAAATCAACATGCATTTATTGATGCCAAAGTACATTGTTATTTTTAAACTAAGACAAAAAACCAAAGTACATTGCTATTTGTTGTACTTGGGACAAAAAACTAATTACCAAAGCTTTTAGAAAATAATCACCACAAACAAAAATTACCAAATTAAATATACACCAAATACACATACATTCACATACACACATAATAACATCATACTTATACCAAATACAAATACTTTCACATATATAGATAATAACATCCTACTTATACCAAATACACAAATTTCACATTCATATACCACATATACACCAAACACACATACATTCACATACATACATAATAACATCTTACTTGTACCAAATACACATACTTTCTTATAGCAAATGCACATATTTCACATTCATATACCACATATACACCAAACACACATACATTGACATATATACACCAAACTTACATAGATTCACATACATATATCAAATATACACACATATGCCAATTTTCACATAATTTATACAACTACACATATTTTGCAATTAAACTCAAATTTCACAATAAATAGAAGTAACTAGAACTTATGGTGGCGGAAATCAAAGAAACATTATAGTGGCGGTGGTAGTCGCCGGTGGTGGTCGGGAAACTCAATCAAAAACTGAAATTGACAATTTTTTTGCAATTAATCACTAAAATAAGCTAACAATCGATGTTACAAGAGAAAAGGGAAAGGAAACTAAGTTGGAAATATCTATTGTCGGCGGAAATTTTTTCTCAGTCATCGGAAATTCGTCCTCACTGGTCTATCTCTACTTGTCGGCCGGTATCTTCTTCTATGTGGCCAAAAACCCTTAATCTCGGTTTTACCTAACAACGATGCTTGCGAATCGACGAATCGACGAAGAAGATACAAAGAAAAAAATGCAGCAGCAGCGATGGAAGCGAACAAAAGAGAAAAGGAAAAGACGTCGATTTTTTTGGGTTAACTGCGTCGACCTTTAGCGGCGACACCTTTACCGGCAACGATTGGGGCTTTAGCGGCGACTTCTATCAATAGTGGCGACACTTCGGAGGCAATTATTGCCACGTCATTTATTCGACATTTAGCTGCGACAGTGTTTAGGTCTTTAGCGGCGACTTTTATCGCCGGTATTGCTTTTGTGCATTCCACAAGTACCCCAGCCGTTGGATTAGAAACACGATCGAACGGTTCTAGTTTACTAGAACGTGAAAGTGCGGATCCGTGTCATGGCCCTTTAGCGGCGACATGGACCTTTAGCGGCGACATATAAAGGTTCATGTCGCCATTAATGGTTGTATTTCTTGTAGTGTATAACTGGGTTTATTTCTTGATGTCATTAATGTACTCTTAATAAGAAAAATAGATGCACGAATCTATACTCTCTAATAAAAAAGAGTATTTTTTTAGACATGTGGCGCCCTTCTATGTTTTAGGTTCTGATTATCTTAATCAATCTTTTATGTAAGCATCGATCACATCCCAAAAATCAGCCAAGAAATTTGAATCTTCCAAATAATGAACTTGATCCCAATTTTACACACAGATATAAAGAATGTTGATGGAAATAATGGGCGGCAGTGGCTCTGGTAAACAGGAGAAATCCTACCATAATGAAAAACCGATAAGAATAAAAGCTTTGAATTTTTTTTTTCATTTTTATTTAAGATTAAATCATGTTATAATTATACAATAACTGAGTTTATTTCTTGATGTCATATTAAATCCGGTCACTATTTATCATAGTATATATAAATTCCAAGTTTGTTGAAAAGTTGAAGAAATCCTTATAAAAATGAAACATATAAGTATGAAAAGTTGGACTTATTCATTTTACTTTAGTTTTAAATCCGGTTATAATTGCACTATAATTGCGATTATTTCTTAAAGTCATTTTGACTCAGGCTCTGCACAATATTTCAAAAGAAAAATAGATGCTATAATAGACGATAAATGAAAGTATGTTGCCAATTTATGGCTTTATCCCTGTTTTCTTTATTTACTTTTTTGGTCAGAGAGTAATTTAAACATCTGAATGATAGTTAAGCCTTGATCTTAGTTATCTTATACATTTCATTGATTAGATTAGAATAGGAAAAAAAACTAGCCATTAGGAATCCTTTTGAATTTGTAAGTTGCTATTTTATTTATTTATTGTGAAATTGATTCTAGAATATGAACTTGTACCTTAAAACCACTTTAGAATTTAAACAAATCGAATCAAAATCAACATGGGATACATACATTATCTAATCATCCAATTATAAAGTAAGTTTTCAAACTACAACGCTTCGTACCAAAAATAAATAAATAAAAAACTAAAAATATAATACTATAATATTATAGATTTTTAAGGGAAATCTTCAATAAAGTCATAATATTTTAGGCAATTTATGGTTTAATCCCAAATTAAATTTTATTTACATAAAAGAACAAAATACCGGTTTCGCGGATTTAGTCGCTATTCCGGCTTTTTTTGTTTATTCGTCAAAATATTAGGACTTTTTCGTTAATTTGACTAAAACTTCGGAATAACCCTTTCATCAATATATTAAAAATGATTTGTTTTTTCAATGAATGTATTTTTTTCATTTCTTTTTATACAACGTTATATATTTAGTTTTAAAGTCACGAAATTTAGAAAAAAAGTATCTATATAATCCAAAAAACTAACAAACTTCATAAATTTGTCTGAAAAGTTTTACCGAAGATAGAGTGCTCTATGATTGCAAGCTGAAATTCATACAAAATTATTGTATATTTTCTTTTGATTTCAACATTGGTCTAAGTACTGGGATAACCACAAAACATACGTAATAATACTAATTAGGTATACTCATTTTCTTCTTCATTCTATTGCTTGTTTAAAACCTTAATCCATATGCCCTCTTTCTCCCTTTGTTTCTTTCTATCTATTGCAGAATTGAGAAGGATGCGATAAGGGATATATATACACACCCCTCAGATAGATCACTATCTTTCCTTTTTATGTGCGCACACACGCATAAAAGTTTCTGATCTAGAACATGTGTGTGCATGTGTGAAATGAGGGTATCAAAGTTCAAGTGAATCTGTGTTTTGTGGTCTAACCAAGGCAAGACTAGCTGCTACCAAGATGTTGCTACTGTCTTTGGCAAATTGAGGTACAAGTTTAACATGAGCATGTTGAAGTGCATGATTCAATAAAAAATGAGTATTAACAAGAAATGTTACGCCATAGATTTAAGTATACCTGATTAATATTATTACATATGTTTTGTGGTTATCCCAATAGTTAGACTAATCTTAAAATAAAAAAAT